TTAAATCTTGAAAAATTCGAGAAATAACATGAAAAATTTGAGAAAATCAATTGTTTCAATAACTAACTTCAGGATGAAAGTGAAAATTTATAAACAAAAAAGTGATAACGTCCAGAGCGATAAGACAATTGAGAGAAAGAAAAGGCGAGGATATCATTAAAATTATTTCATCGTTGGCAACATATTACCTCACACCCTGTCCCTGCGACAGGCACGCATATTGTACAGGGTGTTTAGAAGGAGATATTTAATTTTTTGTATGAATCCATTCTATCGAAAAATTAAATATCTTCAAAACCACTCGACCGATTGCGCCCATTGAAAATATGAATCTTCAATATTGTGAGAGCTATAATTATACCTAATTTCCACTTGCTATCCCCATTTTTCCTCAAGTTATCGGGTGTACAAGACGGAAAAAAACAGAAAAACGGGAATATCCCTGAATCTTTACATGGACGGGTACACATATTTTGATTGATCTCGACAGTGGCCATCGAGACAAGTATTTAAAAAGAATTGAAATTCATCCAGTAGTTCATGAGGTATTTGAAGAAATATATTTACACAAACGGTTGAATATCTCAAGAACCGCTTGGCCGATTGCGCCCATCCACAATACCAACCTTTTATGTTATAAAAGCTAGAAGCATACAAAATATCAACTTGCCATCTCCATTTTTTTATAAGTTATTGTGTAAGCAAGATTTTTCATGAAAAAATGGGAATATCTTCAAATTTTGCCTGAACGGATCTATATTTTTTGATTGATCTAGATAGAGGCCACCGAGACGAGTATTTTGAAAAAAAAAATTGAAAACGGTGGAGTAGTTTTTGAGATATTGAGGAAAAACAAAATTTAAAGAGGTTGTTATACCTCAGGAACTACTGGGTCGATCGGACTGAAACTGCCCACCAAAGTGAAGCTTAATCATAGCTACCATGAGCCATGATTTCAGACTTTTATCGACAAATTTCACCGTATTTATGCGGAATTTTGTAAAAAATGATCACCAGAAACCCAAGTTGCCACATACATACGTACAAGCATGACCCTAGAAACATAACTTCTTCACATTCCTTCATTTCCCATCAAAATCAGAAAATCGAAAAATCGCTCAAATACAAGGCTTCCATTCGGAAGCAAAAATGTCGAGAAATTGCATTTTTGACAAATTCAATGATTTCTCCTACAGAAACGATTGTATTGATTTCTTGTCATCATAATCGATAAAGCTTTATATGATTAACCCTAGACTGGTCACCATGCGAGGGAATTGCCGCAACACGTCGTTTTATTCAACTTGCCATCGACTGGTTGACCGCAAAAATTTGAGAAAAATTGAATTCGTCAATTGAAGTATCTGGAAAATTCTAGTATTTTTTTTCAATATTGTATCTTTAATTCTGGAAGAAAAAAAATTATTTCCAACAGGTGAACAATTTTTTCCCGTGTTAAATGAAATTGCCTGTTGTGCGACGTTGCTGGGACCTCGCCAAACGCGCCCGGGAAGTGTAGAGTGGATTCGGCAACGTTGGAGCCTAAATAACACGGCAGCACTCTCCCGCGAAGGTGACTAATGTCGCATTTTCCCGTCATGTGACCAGACTAGGGTTAAGATTGTAGTGAAAATCCCGAAAATTTTCTCCACGTTTTTGGAGTTAATCAAACATGAATTACCTAAATTTGAAACTTTTTGAAGATTTTATTTCTCAATGACCACTTAAATCATTCGTATCGTTTTGCGACGAGATGCCCGTATGTACGTATATGTGTGTGTATGACCAAAATTTCGCCCTACTATTTATCTCAAACGAATAGTTTGATCGAAAATTTTCTGTTGGTAATGACGAACACGATCGTCTCAGCGGTTTTTTAATTATTCATAGAAAGACGTAATATAAACAGAACATAAGGAATATGAAGAAAAGCATGAAAAATTGTAACTTTTTGAAACTTTAACGACCCTTACTAAAAAAAATGATGGAATTCTATTTTCTGTAAAATAATATATTTTCTGTGGAAAAAAATTACCAGAGAAGTGCCTCTAAGCAATACCAGTCATGAGCCAAAATTTCAGATTTTTAACGATCACTTTTGTCATTTTTGTGGGAAAATTTATACAAAATTTCCCAGAACTTTGCACGCACATACCAACGTACACACATACATTTTCTGAAAACGTCATATCTCGACGTTTCATGACATTCTAAGACGCTTCCTGAAATTAGAGAACGAAGTGAAATTAGAGAATCACATCATCAAAGTTTCAATTCGAAAGCAAAAAACTACTGTTGAAACGATCTTCATCGTAATCCAGTTTGCCTCAATCAAGGTTGAATAAATTTCAGTGAAAACCGTCTGAGCAGTTGTTCATTTATTTGGAAAAAAATTTCAGAATTTGGGTTTTTTCTTTTAATGAATGAAGGGAAAGAAATTAGTCAATACGTTATTGGTTTGACCCATAATGGGTCACACACAATTCATCCCACCCGTAATAGGAGGGCGCAAAGCAGCTAACCAACAACCCAGTCGAATTTTTTATTTATTTTTGCTTCCGAATGGAAGCATTGCAATCGTTCTATTTTTAGACTCTAATTTTGCGTTTTGTTTTTTTGCTTTTCGTTTGATTTTGTTTTTTTTGTGACCACCTTGTGTGTATGTGATGGTGGTCAAATTGTAGAAAATTGAAGAATTCAAGGACTAAAATGATTTCAAAAAATCTGAAATGTTGTCAGATTATAGGCATTAATGACAACCAATTCTGTACTCAATTTCAGCCCAATTGATTGAGCCGTTTCTGAGGAATCGCCATTTGTTTCTAAATTGTTTTTCGCAAATATCTCAAACACTATTCAGCCGATTTCAAATTTTTTTTTCAAAATATTCGTCTCGATGTCTTCTATCTCAATCAATTAAAATATGCATACCCGTTCATACAAAATTTCCGAGATATTTTTATTTTTCAGTTTTTCACACAAAATCTTTATTAGCACTCTTATTTTTGCAAAAATGGACATATTAACTTGAAATTTGGCACAAGGGTTCCTTTTTGCTTCAGAATGTTTTGTATTGGAAATGGGCTAAATCGAATGGTTAGTTTAGGAGATATTCAAGTTCATATCTATTTTGTAATTTCCCCTAACTTAGGTTTTCCTCAAACCCTTAGCGAATGCGATGCAGGAGGTTGGAAAGAGTTTGAATGGAGGGCGAAAAAGGCATAAATTGCAAGAGTGGGGAAAAATATCCGAGAGTGAGCAATTACTATATTTCGTCATTAGGCCGAAAAAAACTTTTCTGGCGAATATGAGGTTTGCAGCACGAGCCGAAGGCGAGGGCGAATCTTTGCCTCCGCAGGCAAAAATTCACGGACGCGGGGCGAAGCGGAGCGTCCGTGAAACGCTGCCTTGCGGCCGGAATGACAAAAAATTTATTATGCTAAAACCATTCGGAAGGATACCATCAATTTATTGATGGCGATGCGAAGAAAGCATTAAAACATCACTCAGTGACATTCTCACTATGCTCACTGCCTCCTGCTTGTTTTTTTTTGCGTTCTTTCTAAATCTCTTGAAAAACAGCAACTTTTGTTTCGGCATGAAAGCTTAGTGCTCGGATAACTTTTTGATGACGAGATTTCGCGAAGAACTTAGAATGATCTATAGTTGGAAAAAGAAAATCACTTCCCATATCATTCCCAGCAATAGCGCGTAAACATGTTATCCAAACATATTAAGTACCCGGGTAAGTGTTGAAAACATTGACATTGAAAAATTAATGGATAAACAAATTAATGACTCAGACATAATCTTGTGATTTATTCATCTTTTCCACGTGGATGACTCGATCTCAGGCGTCATTATCCGATTTTTTTCAAGAATTACGCAGGCAGTAAAAGGTCAACTACATTGGAAATAATAACAATCTGATCACCAATGATAATTTCTGTTAGCAGATTGATTTTCTAAAAACGAATGAACTGTTTGTCTATTGATTATTCTTGAATTTCTCAGAATAATAAATATACGGATATCCAAATACTGCACACACTTGTACATTTCTAGACTAGCACAGTCGAATTTCATGTCTCATTTTTATTAATTTTATACTGGAAGGTGGAGAAAAATTAATACTTCTGACTTTTTTATTGAAATGTAGATACATACGTTGTCGAATTTTTAACGAAATAGGATATTTTTTCGTTCATACGAACTTTACACTTTTTTCCCTTTATAATGAGTCCAAAGTACAAAGAATTGATGCATTCGTCTGCATCAGTTCATTTTACGACGAATATTCTAAGAAAATCTGATTTTTTGTTCTGCACGAAATATGTCAATTATGTATACATGAAAATCTTCCACTTTTTGATGTATAAGGATTTTAAAAACACTTACACGCTCACCAATCATCATAGATATCATTTCGGCTGGATAACTGACATGAGAATAAGCAAAATAAGTGTGAAATGCATTGAAACTTGTATAAGACGCTCTTACACATACTTGAGACGACTTTGCGTAGTCGTAAACAATCAGATTGCAGCGGATTCGATTGACTGCATGAATAATGAGACTGATTCTATATCACTGTGGAAACTGGGTTGTACATACCTTTGAAAACATTTGATACACTTGATGTTTATTCTCTAATGTACAATTTATGAGTTTGTAAGGGTAATTAAAGTCAAAGGGAAAAGAAAGGAATTACAATGGAATTTCAATACAAGTTTTAGCAAGTTTTGCACATCAATTAATGTCCTCGAACCGTAGCCGTAAATTAACTTCAGGAAATCATCGTAATTACGTCAACACTTATGGATTTACAATAATTTTTTTTTCGTCTAATGATTCAGTACTTCCATAACTGGATAAATATGACGGTTCCAAAGGTGAAGGTGGGGAGTACTCTATCGACTTTTTCCCACCTCTGCATTAGATATCCCCAGGATTCTTACGCAATCAACGTCCTCGCTACAATATGTATATAAAAAGCGGCATGACACTTGAGTCGCCACATCTTGAACATTAACGAAATTTATACGCAGGTGGGACTGCGAGTTGCAAAGTGCGAGAATTTGAAAACATTTTCACGTTTGTAATTCTCTGATTTTTGCTTTTCAATTCAAGTTACAATCATGAAAATCGCAGTGTTTGTGCTACTTTCTTGTCTGGTGGCGGTAATATCGGCTAGACCCGATAAGTATACCACGAAATGGGATAATATTGACGTGGATCAAATTCTAAACAATGACCGAATCCTGAATAATTACGTCAACTGCTTATTGGAGGAGGGAAATTGTACTGCTGAGGGAAGAGAACTTAAAAGTATGTAGTAATTATTAATCAATATTTGATCTTTTGGCAATTGTCTCTGCTACCAAATTAGTAACATGCTTTCAAAAATATGAAATCGTATTAGTCTTTTTTAGGCGATGAGAGCCTTCTGTTTTTCAGTCATAATTTCTAACAATTAGACTCGAACAAAACGTTCTTTTCCAAAATACAAGATCGGTATTTCTTAATTTCAAAATTCAATTGCTCTGCAAGTAAAGCATTGATCCTCCGAGCAATTATACAATGCTTCTGAAATTCTAATTTCACTTTATGCATAAGTGATGAAAACGATTCTTTAAAGAATGTGATATCTCAACAAATACGTTTTCTTCAAAAATCGGTTGTTGCTTAGATAAATGCACAGTTAACACAAATTCAAATAGATCTTATCATATTCTATAGCTTTACTGTCGAATTTGAGGGTAGAACATGTTTACAATTACAATACTTGCATCGCGGTCAACAAATTAAGAGAAAATATAAAAAATTCTACGAAGAATTCCATAAATATTCCTCCAGTATTTTTCGCTTCCAGAATCCTCAATTTATGTGATTATTTCCCAGGTGTTCTCCCTGACGCTTTGGAAACCGAATGCGAAAAATGCAGTCGAAAACAAAGGGATGGTTCCAAAAAAATAATCAAATTTTTAGTACAAAACAAGCAGGATCTGTGGGAGAAACTGATGGACAAATACGATGAAGAGAAGAAGTACCGTGGAAAGTACGAGGATCAGGCGAGAGCCGAGGGGATAGAGATCCAGAGCTAAAACTAACCAATCTCAATGATTACTCTCTAATACCTTTTACTTATCATAAAACTGCTGTCCAGAATTAAATAATTAAGTAGATGAAGAAATAAATTTACATCTCAGGCATCCCCGAGTGTTTTCCCTTTTTTCCCCTATTTTTTATCATTCATTTATGTTTCAATCTCAGACTTTAGTTGCGAGCTTTTCTTAAAAATCACGGGTATTTTAAATGTTGACCCGCACGGAGAAAAAAATTGGAAAAAAATTACCACACAAGTCAAGTAGTCGTGAATCAAACTTGATTTTCAGTACTTTTTCACCTTAAATAGGAGAAAAAGTTCGAGATTCATGGTGAACTTTACTCCGTTGTCTTGGGAAAATTCACTAAACGTGAGGGTGATTTGTACCGAAAATGTAAAATTTACCCTGCATCTCATCAAAATTATCCCAGTGAACGTGAATAAAAAAAAATTCTAAGAGAATCAGAATTTAGAGAGAAAAAATTTCCACTTCACCCAGCCAGGAATCGAACCCGGGTCTCCCAGATACGCGCCGGGCACTTTTACCGACTAAGCTACCGGGAACCACAGAAATTCACTCTTAAATTCACCTCAAACACCGCCTAACATATATAGATATGATTTTTCGCACTCTAGACAATTTTCTGAAAGTGTCTGTAAACATAATATTTTCTCCATAAAAGATTATGAAAAATTTCAATTATAAAATTCAGTTACAAATGATCATTTTTTACTCTTCATGCTCTTTTTTAAAATCATTTTATTAAAACATTCTCTTATAAATATGAATTGTGTTCTAAGATGCATTTTTTTTACCGAAAAAATTGTAAGATATCCACTAAACATCAGTATTTTTTCACTGAATTACATTTTTCTTCACGATTACCATTCGTATAGTAAAAGGAAAAATGTCCCGATTTTCTTGATAATTTTTATCCAACTTTTCTCTCCGTGTGGGATAAACAAAATCTGCCTAAAAACATAAAAACAAATCCAGTTTTTGTAAAAAAACTGGGTCAAGAAAAAGTTTTGTTTGATTCCTACTAGGATGTCGAAGTTTTTGAAAAATACATAGAAATAAAAAAAGGGAGCCAAGTCAGGAATTTTAAATAAATGGTGATAGTGCACAATCAGGTTTTTATAAGAAAAATAGTTCTCAATGGAATAAGTATTCTAAAAAAATTCTCCATGAAAAAAAAAATCAGTAGGAGCAGGACCAACGTCCTTAGCGCGGATCAAAGGATGGAGGATTAGATTGATACAGACAGTGGGTTGAAAAACTCCGCGCCAAGAACGTTGGTCCTGCTCCTACTGATTTTTTTTTTCATGGAGAATTTTTTTAGAATACTTATTCCATTGAGAACTATTTTTCTTATAAAAACCTGATTGTGCACTATCACCATTCATTCAAAATTCCTGACTTGGCTTCCTTTTTTTATTTCTATGTATTTTTCAAAAACTTCGACATCCCAGTAGGAATCAAACAAAACATTTTCTTGGCCCAGATTTAAAAAAAAAACATTTGTTGTTGTGTTATTAGGCAGATTTCATTATTTTTTTCAAAATAAGCAACGACTGTTTTTACATCCGGTGAAATTTGTTATTTTCAATTCAATTTAGCTCATTCATTTTTCATAAGATACAATATTTTTTGAATCAACAATTGAAGGGAAATAAACAGTTCTACTCCAGATTTATTGTCTCCACCGATTTTCAATTTTTAATCATCTATTAATAATTTTCTGACTTGATTTGGTTCCTCATTCAATTTTTGCTCTGATGATTCCTAGTGGATTGTATTTCTTGGAGAGATGAATTGATTTCCTTATAGAAATAGTCGAACAAAATGTTCGACTATTCCTATAAGGAATCCGTCGCGGCGCTATGAAAAACTCAATGGTTTCTCGGCGCAGTGACTCCCGACAACTCGCCCGCTAATTAAAAAATCGTATCTCTGCTCCTAATTAACATTAAGGAATGAAACCAATGCTGTTCGATGGAGAATTAAATTCCCCATCCTTCAACCCCCGTTTCATTCCTTAATCTCTGTAATAAAAAAATAAAAACTGCGACGAAATTCGCGGCGCTATGAAAAACTCAATGGTTTCTCAGCGCAGAGCACTTCCTCATTAATTCGCCCACTAATTAAAAAATTGTTTCTTTCCTCCTAATTAATATTAAGGAATGAAACCAATGCTGCTCGATGGAGAATTAAATTCCCCATCCTTCAACCCTCGTTTCATTCCTTAATCTCTGTAATAATAAAATAAAAACTGCCCCGAAAGTTGCGGCGCTATGAAAAACCTAATGGTTTCTCGGCGCAGTGACTCCCGACAACTCGCCGGCTAATTAAAAAATCCTCTCTCCCCTCCTAATTAACATTAAGGAATGAAACGAGGGTTGAAGGATGGGAAATTTAATTCTCCATCGAACAGCATTGGTTTCATTCCTTAATCTCTGTAATAATAAAATAAAAACTGCCCCGAAAGTTGCGGCGCTATGAAAAACCTAATGGTTTCTCGGCGCAGTGACTCCCGACAACTCGCCGGCTAATTAAAAAATCCTCTCTCCCCTCCTAATTAACATTAAGGAATGAAACGAGGGTTGAAGGATGGGAAATTTAATTCTCCATCGAACAGCATTGGTTTCATTCCTTAATCTCTGTAATAATAAAATAAAAACTGCCCCGAAAGTTGCGGCGCTATGAAAAACCTAATGGTTTCTCGGCGCAGTGACTCCCGACAACTCGCCGGCTAATTAAAAAATCCTCTCTCCCCTCCTAATTAACATTAAGGAATGAAACGAGGGTTGAAGGATGGGAAATTTAATTCTCCATCGAACAGCATTGGTTTCATTCCTTAATCTCTGTAATAATAAAATAAAAACTGCCCCGAAAGTTGCGGCGCTATGAAAAACCTAATGGTTTCTCGGCGCAGTGACTCCCGACAACTCGCCGGCTAATTAAAAAATCCTCTCTCCCCTCCTAATTAACATTAAGGAATGAAACGAGGGTTGAAGGATGGGAAATTTAATTCTCCATCGAACAGCATTGGTTTCATTCCTTAATCTCTGTAATAATAAAATAAAAACTGCCCCGAAAGTTGCGGCGCTATGAAAAACCTAATGGTTTCTCGGCGCAGTGACTCCCGACAACTCGCCGGCTAATTAAAAAATCCTCTCTCCCCTCCTAATTAACATTAAGGAATGAAACGAGGGTTGAAGGATGGGAAATTTAATTCTCCATCGAACAGCATTGGTTTCATTCCTTAATCTCTGTAATAATAAAATAAAAACTGCCCCGAAAGTTGCGGCGCTATGAAAAACCTAATGGTTTCTCGGCGCAGTGACTCCCGACAACTCGCCGGCTAATTAAAAAATCCTCTCTCCCCTCCTAATTAACATTAAGGAATGAAACGAGGGTTGAAGGATGGGAAATTTAATTCTCCATCGAACAGCATTGGTTTCATTCCTTAATCTCTGTAATAATAAAATAAAAACTGCCCCGAAAGTTGCGGCGCTATGAAAAACCTAATGGTTTCTCGGCGCAGTGACTCCCGACAACTCGCCGGCTAATTAAAAAATCCTCTCTCCCCTCCTAATTAACATTAAGGAATGAAACGAGGGTTGAAGGATGGGAAATTTAATTCTCCATCGAACAGCATTGGTTTCATTCCTTAATCTCTGTAATAATAAAATAAAAACTGCCCCGAAAGTTGCGGCGCTATGAAAAACCTAATGGTTTCTCGGCGCAGTGACTCCCGACAACTCGCCGGCTAATTAAAAAATCCTCTCTCCCCTCCTAATTAACATTAAGGAATGAAACGAGGGTTGAAGGATGGGAAATTTAATTCTCCATCGAACAGCATTGGTTTCATTCCTTAATCTCTGTAATAATAAAATAAAAACTGCCCCGAAAGTTGCGGCGCTATGAAAAACCTAATGGTTTCTCGGCGCAGTGACTCCCGACAACTCGCCGGCTAATTAAAAAATCCTCTCTCCCCTCCTAATTAACATTAAGGAATGAAACGGGGGTTGAAAGATGAGGAGTTTAATTCTCCATCAAACAGCATTGGTTTCATTCCTTAATGTTAATTAGGAGCAGAGATACGATTTTTTAATTAGCGGGCGAGTTGTCGGGAGTCACTGCGCCGAGAAACCATTGAGTTTTTCATAGCGCCGCGACTTTCGTCGCAGTTTTCATTTTTTCATTACCGAGATTAAGGGATGAAACGGGAGTTGAGGGATGGGGAATTTAATTCTCCATCGAACAGCATTGGTTTCATTCCTTAATGTTAATTAGGAGGGGAGAGACGATTTTTTAATTAGCGGGCGAATTATTGGGGAGTCTCTCTGCGCCGAGAAAACATTGGGTTTCTTATAGCGCCGTGACTTTCGTCGCAATATTAATTTTTTTATTGCAAAGATTAAGGGATGAAACGGGGGTTGATGGATGGGGAATTTAATTCTCCATTGAACAGTCTTTGTTTCATCCCTTAATATTAATTAGTCGGTGAATAAATCAACTGAAAAACATAAAGTAAACATTGAGTACAAGGAGGACAAAAATCCCCTTCCAAACCTGTCCGTCACAGCGGGACTGCTACTGCCGAGTTACTCACGCACCCGACTCACATTTACCGACAATTCGACCGGGACGCCGCCTCTCCCGTGGGGTACCAACTAACATTTTTGGAGTCAGTTAAACCCCCCGATCCGGGCCTCTAATCAGGTCTATCCTCTTTGCGCGGTGCTCTCGGCCTGATGTTTTGCTCAGTCGGTCATTTGCTCAGTCGGTCAAAACTTTTCTTGGTCGATACGCTACCGCGTATCTCGATTGTACGATCAAACGAACTTACCTGTAAGTGAATTTCGATCGTGATTATATGAAGAGCCTCGTCGAGAGATTTTAATAACTTGTAGTAGTAGTCCGCCTGCGGCTAGATGGAGCCACACGCCTTCAGAGACCATAGAAAAAGTTGGCTGTGGCACCTCGGCGGTGAGGGCTCGCCATCTTATCATGAGTTTAAAGTTAAGCAATAGTGTAAAAAAAATTGGACAGGTTTGGGAAAACTAGTTGGGAGGGACTGAATCTCTCGACGAGGCTCT